GCCGTTGGACTGATGAAGGGATCAGATGACTCCAGACCCACGCAATCATGGCATTTGGCGGTCCTCCATCGCACAGAGGGGAAAGAAGGAAAGAAGGGAAGGCAAGGAGAAGGAGATAAAAAGTGAGCTCCATGTCTGCGTGTGCTATAGAAAAGGACATCTCCAGAGTGCTAACAACTTCGATCTCATTTCATATGGGACTTCGGATTCACTGATCTCCAACATCACTTCTCGTCCTCCTTTCATTCATTTAACCCTCCCGGCAATCAGTATCCATTTCTTCATTCATCCATTCATCGTAAATTTTTTTTAGTCCACTTTTGTCCTAATCAGTCTAATGAATATTTTAATCACCGTAGATGGAAATAATTGAATAAATCCAAGCAAAGAGATGAACTTTGCAAACACCTGATGAATGCAACAGACTAACTTTTGCCAAAAAAAAAAAGACCTTTAGGCATACCTTAGCACTACTAATAAGGCAAGTTTAAACATCTTTTTCTCGTGACAGAACTAAAATTGGACATTCTTTTGGTGACAATGATGAAAGTTGTGTTTGGGGGAAGGAGACCGAGCCCCCACCACTGAATGACCTTGACTGCCAGCCAATGGGAGCGCGCGGAGAGGATGTGGGTCTTGAAGGTGGTGTCAAGACAAATGAAATCAAATTAAATCAAACGCTCTCACCCCTATGCTGCTGTCTAGTATGCCTTTTGATGTAAAAGTTTTATGAGCCTGATTTACTGAGACACTAACGTGCTGATTGGCAAACCAAAAATGGAAATCAAGGCTATTTGATGCTTCACATTGGAAGTGAAATAATTTTAGCACGATAATATATGCAAATTAAGTTGAAAATATCATCTACAGACGGTTGGACGATAAGCTCTGCATCCTTGAATGCTCGCTCAGCATTGGCGGCGCCGATGTTCTAGGCCCCGATGAATAGCCACTTCAAGGCATACTTCCATCGCCATCCAATATTCCACATTCATGGGCTAAATGTCCGAGTGTTCACGAACTTTACATTCACATTTCCTTTTTCACCTTCCCTCTCCTTACCGGCACCATCAAACCCCGGATCATGGCCTCTCATTTCAACATCCCTCAAGTAGGCTTCAAGCGGGCCTGACAGACAACGTGAAGTGCTTTCACTTACAAACGATGTATACAAAAAGTCACTTTTGTTATCAAATTCCAATCCTGCGTTTATGATGCTCTCTCCTGGTGGAACAAAAAGGACCACTTTCGGTTACTTTTCGCCCCACTATGCTTTAAAGCAAAGGCGAGAGGATTAGGCGGCAGATAGGACCTCGAAATCAAGGCATAGTGTTTTCACTTCGCTTACTTCAGTCCGGCTAAATGCCTCTACGCAGACGCCTTTATAAAAAGGAGTATTTTTTATTAAAGTGGGAAAAAAATTCACGTCACTGTCACACCAACTATGCGAGGAAATAAATGTGAAACCGCAAAGGCGTCCATCGCCTGCTTTTTTTGCCACAGTTAAGGTCCATCCAAAATTAAAAGCTATATAAAAGAACTCTTAATTTTTAGATATGTCAACTGACAGCATAAAATTGACCGTAAAGCACCAAACACGCCTCTTTCAAGTTTATTAATCTCCTAACACCAAGTGCCATTTCATGATTCCACTTAAAATTATTATTTTCTTTTTTACTAGAGTTGCACTAGGGTACCAAGGAAGCTTTAAAAAACTATAAATTCGTGTACACTTACAAAAAGTGGCACTATTCCCATCAAAGTTAAAATTTGCATTAAAAATAATTTTCTAACTCCACCAACTGAAAAGTCCGCAAATTAAACACATCGATTGGATAGTTTAGAAGGGTTCGGACACAGTTATGTCCTTTTTTCAACCTGGGAAATTTAACGTAATGCAAATTGGTTTTAATAAAAGGTGAGAAAAAGATCCAATTAAATTGCGCCCCGCGAATGAAATCTCTAATTTCATTGGATGATAGTGTTTAGGCCAATTAGCACGCTGCTTGATTCTTGTGATTGCAAATCATCATCAAGTCCTTTTTCTTCAAGGCATCACCATGAGTCACGTTCATAGATGGTAATTTTCGCAAATAACTGGCAATATCGTGTCAGATTATCATATAATCGTGCCAAGATCTTGGGAACCGATGACCCAAGTCGGTTCCCATGATAGCATGCCCGATTTGCCCGCCTAAAACTGATTTAGCAACGTGGCCTATCAGGGTCATCTGTAACCGCGTTAGAATCATAGCAGCAGTTACGGTGATCACTTAGACACGTGTGATAGAAGTGACCGCAGTTTCAGCAATCTACAAAGCCATGATGATCACGATGCCGATCACATCTCCACTGCCATTACAATTGAGTCATAAGGAATAACATTTCCCACTTCCGCAATTGTGCTCTTTCAGACGCTAAATGTTGCCTCTAAATGGATGTAGGAGGTGGACCAAATGCCATTGGATGGGCTAATCTTCACTGCATTTTTATGTATCGTTTTAAGGACACGAGGCATCACACGTCGGCCAGACAAGTCCCAAAATAATTCTTTTCCTCGGCCTACACCAAAAACCATGGATTCCATTTTAGTTGTCCACTCTATCCGATGGGTGGATTTACTTGTTGCAGAGAGGAGGGTCTTCCAGGCACTAGAAAATGCTTAATCTTCTGAACGCTGATGGTTAAATCACGTCGCCACAGACAAGTTTGCTTATTTTGCAACAGCGAAGTGAATTTTGCGTAAAATCGTTCATCGCGGGTGGGTGATGCAGCAGCTTTCGCTGCAAGGTGTCAACGGAGGTCTGACGCTTTTTGCATCTTCTGATGACTGATGAAATTCGGCGCCGTGGAGAAGGAATGAGGAAATAAAAATATACCAGTGTGTGCCTTACAATTTGTACTTTTTTCACATTCTCCGCCTACTAGAACCCTACACTTCGAGAAAATAATGGCGTTTAGTACGATTGGCAAGCATTCAGTCATAAATACTCGAGTGGGCTGAAATTGTACAATTTTAATTATGTTTTAACGCATTTCTCCTACCTCAGCATTTGAGCCAGGTAATAATTCTCAACTTCAGTAGACCGAAAAAAGTGAAAAATGACAAACTACTATACCCTCATTACCCTTTAACAGACATAAAGCCTGAAGCCAATTTAAGGATACTCACATTCACAAGCATAGGCCGCTACTTATTAAGATGTAAGTAGCATCATGATGGGGACAGAGTATACATTATCAGCAAAACTGTAAAGCATTTAAAAAAATTATTTGCGTTGCACTCATTGTCAGGTTCTAGCACCCTGTCCACAAGACATTAGAATTTAAAATGCTGAGCTGCTTCACATACACTCACGAAATTGCGGCTAGTGTATTAAAACAAAGCAATAGAATTTAGAAAGAAGCAAAACTGAGATTAAACCATAGGTTACACCGATTTTCCTATTTATTACACAACTCTACCCTACATAAAACCAAAATATATCACTTGTTGCAAAGAATAATTAATTTTAGCATTAACTTTGATAGTTGATCGTGATTTTGGAACCTAGAGGTGAGGGATCGGAAGCCTCGGACGCTTCGGATTGCCTGTGCACCCTCAACCACTCAGTAGTGGGTTTGCGACACAGGCCACAGTAGGCCCTAAGACCCTCCCATGTTGACGTGGGGTCAAAAGTCCGAAGAGAAAAACCTTATCATCGTGCCCGTCGCTCGACTGCTCAGTGTTAACGAACGACAACCGGATACGTTGAAATGTCCGGATAGGGAGTTTGCTCAAAAGTGAGATCGATGTCCTTTTAAATCCCCACCTGATCCTGTTTGCTGGACATGCTGCACCCCGGAAATGGGCACAAATGTTTGGAAGGGCGGAGGTGGGAGGGGGGAGGGGGGTGAAGAAGGAAAGCAGGAGCGCTGGCAATCCCAGCAAAATTTTCAATCCATAAACCCACAATCGGGTCTTTCTGAGAAATATCCGTCTACAATTTGTGGTTTAATTCTTTAACAACAATTTTTACCACCCCCCTTTACATTCAACAGCTCACGAATGACGCGCGGGAAGTGGACTGTCACGGTGGAAGGCCAAACTCCTCCACTCAGTTGACAGACTAAGCATAGGAATGGGAACAAGCGTTGTGCCCTTTGCTGTGCCCTCGATGCATACTTACATTAAGATGCGTTTAAAATCAAATGAAAGTGAAGGCACGCGTGCAGGAAAGGCGTAAAAGTTGATAAACCTGCGGATTTACTTCCCGTCGTGGTGGTGTATTTATAGACACATCAAGACTGAGGGAGAGCCATAAATATGAGCTCTTCCTGCCCCAAGTTAAGCAGAACCGCAAAAGGCATCAAGGCACGAATTAAAACATGGTCAAAGGGAAAGCCTTTCATCCATCCTTTGGTTTTTGCCTACTCATGCATATTTTGGGGGCTTCGGCCGTTCAACCATCTGGTTGCGTGGCTCCATCCATCAAACACCCCTACTCGGAGACAACTCGTCAACTCAACTAATTCAATTTTTCTTTGTAAATGCTTTGACCTCCGTTCATTCCATCCATCCATCCACAAACACCAGCCTCAAGTACTGTTTTCGAGAATTTGAATTAATCGCCTGTGTTAAGAATTTCTCACCGGTAGCGTTGAATTGCATCGAGAACAAGTTCGACTGGGAATGGTGCTTCCAATACTGGAAATCTCCTCACAGTAGTGTCCATTCTGTCGCAGTGCAAACACGTCATCACCTCGCATTTCCCTCTCCTCGTCATCGTCTTGAGCAAAACTAAACGTCTCTGAGGAATGACTTCTTTCCGTGGTCCATCCCCTACGTCTACTGGCTGCACGACGTCTGGAGACACTTCGGTGTCTACGATGTCCCAATCTCCGTCGAAATGGCATCCAATGGGAGAGAGAACGCTCCAGATTGCCTGGAAGTCCGTTCAAACCACTGCCACCGATACTGCTATTACTTGTGGATGATCGAGGCATTTTTCGAGGAGCCAAAAGACTCAGGAGACTGGAGATGTGGTGGGTGTGATTCGTGGCAGTCACAGAATCCACTGTCAATGCGCCTTGCATTGCATTGGTTGCTCGAACAACACGCGACTCCTCCAAGTCGGCACTGGGAATGAGACCGGCCGGAGTGGGTTCGGATCCGGCCTTGTACTGCCTCGCCTACTTTTCATGCAAGTGAAAGGGGCGTCAGTGCTACTCGAGAGAGGTCAACGAGGCGACAAAACGTCGACAAGGGATGAGCGTACCTGCCACCAGGTGAAATCTGCAGCATCAACAATCTCCAAAATGTCACCAACTTTGAAAGACTGACCCAATTCTGGGCAAGGCAGTTCCAAATCCTCACGGGGATCGTAGTCAAACATGGCACGTACGTGCATCTAAAAAAAAATATTTCACTCTCACGCCACCAGAAAGGCCTCATCTTATCTCCTAAGGACAAAATCCTCTCTTCCCCGTCCCTATAGGTGGGTAATTTTGCTGCTCACTGTCAGTGAAGTGGGAAATCAGGGAAAAGAAGGTCCCTCTCAGTGACTCTGTGCCACACTTTGCAACGGAAATATCTACTCTACACCCATCCATCTTCCACCGTTTCAAATGGCTGCTATGTTAAGAGGGAAG